TCTACATCAAGGTGGATTAGGATTGCAAGAAATATTTTATAACATACCAGGAGCCAATGTCAACCAGGAGGAAGGAGTGGATGTCTACGAAGTAGCCATCACAAAACTTGATAAATATTTCTCACCATAACATAGCGGAGTTTATGAACGACACGTTTTTCGTCTGATGGAGCAAGAAGAAGGAGAAGGAATCGAGAAATTTCTCTTGAGACTTAGTAATCAGGCAGGAAAATGTAAATTTTTCAATATAAAAGAAAATCGAATAGACCAAATAGTGAAAAAGGGTAACTCAATCAAATTACGGAAGAAAATATTAGCAGCTGTGGACTCGATAACTCTAGGGCTACATCTCTAGAAACAGTAAATAGAGAACTGGGAGGATTTCACGAAGTTCTTCAGGAAACGGCGACCAAGTAAATGCTTTGAATTCAAGGTTTGAAGGTAAATCAAAACAAGCCTGTACTAGATGTGGTCGCAGTAATCATTATTCTAACGACTCAAAATATCCAGCTAGACGGCAGAATTGTAATAAATGCAACATACCTGGACATTTTGCAGCATATTGTAGAACACGCCAGCCAAAGTCAGAAGTTTCCAAAAGGAAAAATGAAGAATTATTGAGGAATTACTTTTCAAAAAATAAAAAACCAAGACAATCTGGAGTTCGTTTCATCACAGAAGATTCACACTCGGAAAATGAAATTGACCATGTTTTCCATATAGACCAAGATGAAACAATAACTTGTTCATTAGGTGGGGTAAAGACAAAAATTTTAATAGACTCCGGGAGAAAAAGTAATCTTATAACGGATAAGACCTGGGAATACTTGAAAGAACATAATGTTCAAATCATTTATCAAGAAAAACATCCTAAAAAAATGCCTATGGAAGCAATAAACCTTTAACGGTATTAGGTTCTTTCGTATCCAAAATAGGAATAAATAACAAATATTTAGATGCCACATTTTATGTAATCAAAAATGATAAAAATAATTAATAGGAAAAGACACCTCAAAAGATTTAGGAGTCTTGAAAATCAGGTTGGAGTCGGTGAACAACGTGTCCACCTTCCCTAAATTCAAAAACGTTCTCATTGATATTCCAATCGATGAAAACGTCAAGCCAATTCGTCAACCATATAGAAGAGTACCTACCCATCCCCTTAGAAACGAAAGTCAACACCAAAATGAGAGAACTATTAGACTCCGACATAATTGAAGAGGTGGTCGGTCCATCCAAGTGGGTTTCTCCCCTCGTTCCAGTTTTAAAAGGAAACGGTGAGGTTAGGATATGCGTAGATATGAGAGAAGCTAATAAGGCAATCATCAGAGGAAACTATCATCTCCCAACTATGAACGAACTCCTCCCAAAATTCAGAAATTCTCAACTGTTTTTCAGATTAGACATAGAGAATGCTTTTCATCAATTAGAAATATCACCTGATCCACGTCATATCACAACTTTCATCAGTAGTAATGGTCTGTTTCGATATTAGAGACTGGTGTTTGGAATATCTTGTGCACCTGAAATATTCCTGAAAACATAAGAACGAATTCTTCTGAAGAGTGAAGGCACTGTTAGTTCCATAGACGACATTCTTATATTTGGGAAAGATGAAACAGAACACAACTCTAGACTACGTTTCACATTGAAAACATTACGCAAGAATGATATTTTATTGAATGAGGCGAAATGCCTGTATGGAATGAAAAGTTTCCAATTCTTGGGTCATACTTTATCGATCAATGGAATCACACCTCTTGATAGCTATGTGGGGGTCATAAAAACGTTCAGATCAACAAAAACCGTAGACGAGATTCAAAGTTTCTTAGGCCCCATCAACTATGTGGGCAAGTGGATACCAAACCTAGCGACATTAACAGAACCATTTCGACACATACTGAGACTGAAATTAGGAAAACATGCAAACATTGAAACTCATTGAAAAGACGAACAACGAAAGGCATTTGAACTAATCAAACAAATATCAACAAAAATCAAATCACTGGGATACTATAATCCAACTGACAGTGTATTCAGTTTGACGATAGGGGACCACGAATCATCGGATATAGAAATAAAAGTCTGACAAAATGCGAAAGAAGATACTGCCAGACAGAAAAGGAAGCGTTGGCTCTTGGCTGGGCGGTCGAACATTTCAAAGCGTATTTGTATGGCAAGGCGGAGTTCGAGTTAGTGACTGATCATAAGCCTCTCGAAGTCATTTTCGGATCAAGATCCAAACCCTATGTACGCATCGAAAGATGGGTCCTTAGACTCCAGTCGTACAGTTCCAGAATAGTTTATAGACCAGGTATATCGAATATAGCTGATTCGTTATCAAGGCTTTGCATCATAGTTCCATCTGAACCTTTCGACAAAGAAAGCGTTCACTAATTGATAGAATATTCACGACCTGTAGCAATTTCTTTGAACGATTTCAAACATCATTCGGAAATAGATGAGGAATTCGCCAAAGTGAGAAAGGGATTATTTGAAAACCACTGGGACCAGTCGACTAACGTTTATAAAATATTCCAATCAGAATTATGTTATCAAGACGGAATTCGTCTGAGAGGAAACAAATTCGTGATACCAACAAATCTGAGGAAAGATGTTTTATTGGCAGCACATGAAGGACATCCAGAAATTTCAGCAATGAAAGGCAGATTGCGAACAAAGGTTTGGTGGCCTAAGATCGATAGCGACGCAGAAAAACTAGTCAAGTCTTGAAGAGGATGTATCTAAGTATCGACACCATTACGACCTAACCCTATGAAGCGACGGGAATTACCATCCAAGCCATGGGTTGATATTGCTATCGATTATCTGGGCCCTCTTCCTGGTAAATATTTTATATTAGTAGTGATTGATTATTATGGCCGCTATGAAAAGATCAAAATCACGAAGGACACAACTACTAGGAAAACAGTGGATTTACTCCAGGAGATCTTCTCTCGAATGGTCTATCCGTCATCGACGTCATCGATAACAGCCGATAACGGTAAGCAGTTCGCAAGCCAAGAACTACATCAATTCTACCATCAACGTGAAATAATCGTTTTCCGTAGCATACCATATTGGCCTCAACAGAATGGAGAGGTCGAAAGACAGAACCGAAACATCTTGAAACGAATCAAAATAAGCCACTCGCTGAAACAGGACTGGAAAAAAGAGCTCCTAGATTATCTAGTAATGTACAACAGCACCCCACACACGGTGACCGGTAAAACTCCGGGAGAACTTTTTACGGCCGACAGTTCAGAGATAAAATCCCAAGCCTCATAGACCTCGAAGATAATGAAGAGAGCAACGAAGTAATAGACAGAGATAAAATTGAGAAGGAAGAAGGTAAAGAATATAGCGACAATAAGAGGAAAGCTCAGGACGACTCTCTCCAAAAAGAGGATAAGGTTTAATGTGAAAGAGATGCAGAGAGAAAATAAAACCTATCCAAATTTCACACCAGCCTCCATACAATCATTAACAAAAATGGAACAGATGTGGAAGTCAGAAACGATGAAACAGGACAGAACCTGAGAAGGAACATAGTCCACCTGAAGGAAGTCAAAGGAGAATGGACAGTACTACCGAAAGAATACGATACTGTATGAGCAGACCAACTGACTTTGGCTAGTAGCTTTCATTCAAATCTTATATTTGTATATAACTGTTACTATTATTATAACCTATCATTGTCACTATCAGGATTATTATTAGAATTAGTAGTTATATTATTATTATCATCATTATTATTATTGTTATAAGGATGGATATCGTTAGTGTTTCATGTTATTATCATTAGGATTGTACTTTTATTTAAGTAGTATCATAGATATGTCCTAATCGGAATAAGTATTCCTTCACATACATTGAAAGTGCTGAAAACAAGGGAGAGATGTAGTATCCAGTAATTATGAATAAACGGATCAGAAAGACATGAGTGAATCATCACCATCGCAATGCGGATAGGTTGAAATAATGATAAGGAGATTCATTAGTGTCTGGACGATCGGACAGTGTACATCGGGGTTTAATTGTGTTACCCAATCCCAGTATATTACACAATCCATTACCTTTTATGCTGTGTACTGATAAGAGTGATAAGTTTTTAAATTTCTTGACATAATTGTCAATATTCGATCGAAAACGCTAATAATGCCTGTTGTAGATGTACTTTTGGCAGATATCTTGCTCTATTTAGACGGAAAAAGCCGACCAGTAGTGGAAAGAGAAGCAGTTCTCCGTGCTAATCATGTGGTTTTGTGTGAGGCAGAAGACTTCAACAAAAGGCACATTTTTGCACTTTGTCTACAAACTTCGGCGATGAAATCTTCCCCACATGAAGTAAAATTGAAGTTGGTTTCCAGAGGAACTCCTGTAGAACAATGGATTTGTATTTGTTCATGCAAAGCAGGACAATCTGATTATTGTAAGCATGTTGTAGCTGTTCTTTTATATGTCAATTGATTTGCTCGTCATAATTAGTTTGAATTGTTTGAACTATCTCCAATTCTTCACCCGTTCACTGTTCACTAAACTAATAAAAATGTAATAATGTGAAAAAATTAACCAACTCAACCATCATCACTACCAACAGTGCCAACCTTTATGCCATTGACAAGTTTGACTACAGCTACAGCAAGCTGCATGCAATGTTAGTCTATGCACTTTATCCATAGACAACAGTTTGTTTTCCCCCAGTTCGAAGTTCGTATTATGTAACCTAGATGTCGCCCACTTCGTGAATCTCGCAAATTCAATGTTCTGCGTGGCATTAACCAGGAAAGCAGTTGTTTTTCTCCCGAAATCTACTATTGTTGTTCATTTCATGAACATTGTGTGGAAATGACTTGGAGCTTTTTGTATTTATTCAACATTTCATTCCACTTCGAGCATTGGAGCTATTTCGTATTTGAAATCAATGATAGGTCAATTATTTGTTCTGGTATTTTTGTGTATTTTTGGAAAGTTTATCACCTCAAATGTTTTCATTGTAGCTGTTACAAAATCCAGTGTCGGTGTCAAATAAACAAGACGATCTGTGCAATGCCGTCATGGGTGCGGCAAATTCTTTCGGTGGAAAACAACTTTTCCTGCAATACCCTTCCATCAGTTCCTGCTGTGCTCATTGTAAAGGCGAAATCCAGAATATTTGATACCTTTTTCGTTAAATGAGATTCCTGAGGAAGGTGAGTTCATTTTTTTGATAGATAACATGATGGTATAACATGATGGTCGCTTATTTGGTTCTGGATTCATGGTTCATTGTACTCCAATGTGAATGAAATATTGTTAATTCTTATGAGATAATTCTAAAATATGTTGAGATTTTCTCTCTTCCTCTCTATGAATAAAAATATCAGGGTTGGCACGAATTAATTCATATGAATTAAGACACTGATTTAATTCGTGAATTGATTCAAATGACTTTTTTCAAGTAACTCGTGAATTAATTCAAAATTTATCAAATGAGAACAAATCGCATTATTACCTTCGATTCAAACTAGTTTAAAATGAAATTTCCAATTGCATCTGACAACTGACAGCCGTGAAGCACCACACGCGGAAAACAAAATTTTCTAAGAGCCGCTTTACAGTTTGCAATATTTCATTGCATGCAACTGATTGCTCCAATTCATATTTCCGGCAAAAATACTATTTAGACTTTTCAACGCTGAATCGGAATTACCGATTTGCAATGTCTTTTTGTCATAGATTCTGTGTATTACTTCTCACCGAGTTTTGAGTTGGGTCAGGAGTTGGGTAGAAGAAACTATGAGAAAGACAAGAAAAGTAAGATCCAATGTGTATCTAATAATGCGTGACATTCCGAAAATCTAACATGTCACCACTAGAATTGCACCAGTAATACAAATTACCACAATATAAATAAATATGTCCGGACTCATTTCTTGCAATGCATCGAAAAATTGCTTTCCAAGGTGACACCAATCTTTAAGCGCGCCATGGATATTGCTGCATTTTATTGAAAATAACTGTAAAGCGCCTCTATAATGAAGATTATGAATGAGTAATATAATTTGCATAAACATAATTTTTCATTCAATCAATAGTCTCAGTTTATATTGCAAAAATTGCATATTTTAAGTATTTTATTGTCACGCTTTGAGATTTTTAACGGAAATTGAAACTTTTTTTTTCGATGTTCTTGTATTTTGTTCAAGTAAATAGAATTTGATTTGTTCTCAAATGAATTAAATCAAAAAAGTCCGAATTGATTCAAAAAGTGAGACTTTTTTGACTTTTTTATAAAACTCATGACTTATTCCAACCCTAAAAAATATTAATATTATACCAATATTTGAAAAATGGTTGAAAAAGTATATTGAAAAGTATCAAATTTCACGTATTTTGGACGTTTCGGGAACGCTTTGCTCCCGTTTTCAGAAAAAACATGGAAACAGTATTTTTCGCAAATTGTTTTCTAGAGATCCTATGGAAAATTTCAACTGGAAGGGCAACATAATCTGATATCTTACTCAAATATCAAAAATTCTTGGAGTAGAATATGAAGAACAATACCCTTTATTTATTTAGTAGGTGTTCCAAATTTTCGTAATTTGAACTATTTTTCAATCCCTAGCTTTTTTCGAATTTTTTGTTTTTTTATAAGAAATGTTTGAAGAATAATCGATCGTTTTTGATATGTCTACTTTTGATGTGATCTAATAAAATTCGGGTATTTTTCTATTACCGCCTGAACAATGTGGTGTTCTCATTGTTTGAAATTTGAATTTTCGCTAATATTCGATATTTATGAAAATTATTTCCAGAACAAAAATTCGTGCATTTCCAATATTTCATAATAACATCAGCATGTATGGTATGGTATAAGAATTTTTGGAAAGGAACAGGCGTTCTTCGAATTTTTGCCTATACATTAGTGTATTCAAAATTTTGGAAAAAAGAAAACGAATATTTTTTGGTCTACAAATTGTATTCTTATTATGAAAATTCACAATTTCTGACCAGAATAAATTTTGTAATCTGGTAAAAATGTAAAAACGTGAAAAACAAATGAGTAAAGATCAAATTATCCTGATCATCAATAGGGTGTTCTGAAATTGGGGTGTTGTATAAGAAATAATAACACATTAAATGGTTTTGATTGTTTTTTGATATCGTTTTCTCAACTGTCATTGAATGTCCAACAACATTCAGACTTCCGGTGCTTTTGACCTCGCCGCAAGCGAACGCTTGGGTTCGGCTGTTGAAGTCTGATCTATTATTTACAAAAATTCCAGACGAAATTGAAAGTTCAATATTTTTCAAAATGTATTGCATCAATTCGTTTTTTTTTTCAAAATCTTCTATTACCAACTTCATTTATTGCCCCAATTTTGAAACATTCTGTGTAATTGTTTTAAAAAAAATTAATGTTGTTATCAGATAGAGAATGTGAATTCTCAATGTCCCCATTTTGTCATGTTCATAATCCTGTGTGTTCTGTTGTTTTTCGGCGTTTATGGTAATATCATGAGAAATAGTTATTTATGTATTAAGGGAATTATGAGGGCCTTAATTACCGATGGCAAAGTTTGCGTCCCGAGGGCCTCTGGCCCGAGGGACAGCAATTGCCAGAGGTTATTGAGGCTCTATAATTCCCGTGATACATAGATAATTTTATTTCTGACTGATTTCATTCATTAGATACCTTCCCGATTGGAAGTTAGACATGTTTTTCCGTATAGTTTCAATGTCATCAGAACGTCAGATGATGATCTTGACTACCGCGAATAGGAGATTCCTTATTGCTACGTTATTGCGTGGTTGTTGCTATGCATTTTTTATTTAATTTTAGCTAGAGGGAATTATAGCATCTATAACATCCCAAGGGAGTTATGACCCCCATAATAGATATCGTAACTATGACGATATAAGCTTATAATGTCACTGTCAGAAATAAAATAGGTAATTGACCTTCGAGTGTTCGAAAGAATGATTTTTGATATCTAGACTTTCATATTTATAAAGAAGTGCTGGAAAAATGATATAAAAAAACAAGAATAGTCATATATTACAATTTATTTTGGGGATATTCATTCTACACCTTTCCTATGTTACAAAAGAATGTGATTTCAAATTATCTGGTTTGCAACATTTTCAATAAAATGATTTTTTATAAATTTATTTCTATGTAATTCTCTATCATCTGCAATGCAAGTTGAAAAAATTTAACATTTGATTTAGTTCTAGTGTTATATAAAACTAAGCCATTTTATTTTCCTCTCAATAAAATACAATAACTTCATCTAAATCAAACTAATATATATTTTTTAATATACAACATAATAATATTATGGTTTATGTATACAATTGTACATATAAAATTTTCATCAGGTTAAAACATTTTCATCAATATCTTCACATTACTATAAATCAGTTTGATAATAAAACACGAAATAAAAACCTAAAAACTCAATTATGGGAATCCATCATTTTATAAACACTACTTACGTGCAATGAGCACATTAGTTTAATAATCACATTATATAATAATTACATATTATAATACTTGAGTGGTATTGCTACTTGATACCTTTTTCGACTTTGAAGCATAATTCACATCACAAAAGTATTTTTTGCCAACTACTTGTGTCCTGTAATTTATTCTATTTCTTTTGAATATGTGAACAGCTTTATACAATGCTTCCTGTGATTCTTACCCAATGGCAGATTCCTGGTTAGGATTTTTTTTGTGAAAAGCATAATTCCAATTTGAAAACAAAATTGAATGTACTTAATTCGAATTTTCATAATATCCTTTGCTCACCTGTTACTCAAGGCGTTGGGAAAAATAGTCACATAAAAAAAATGTTTCCTTATATTTTCGTGCATAGATATGCGAATTTCATAATGTCAGGATTTCAATTTTCTTGCTTGTCAATTAATTATAGTATCTTGCCAGTATTATTCGCACTTTCCAGAGTGCCTACTTTAGTCTCTCAAATGAAAGGGAGAAGTTACGTTTTTAGGGATTGAATGAAAATTTAATCCCCCAATAATTGAATCAATCTGTTTCCATAATATATTTTGGAATAATAAGATTATTCACAGGTAGATATACCAGGAGACTAACGCGGCTTTTAATCTCAGGTAGGTAATGACAGACTATACAAGGTGTCCCTAAATTACATAGAAAGATCTCAACTGTAGATTCTAGGAACAAAAATAGTGAAAAAAGTTTATAGCCGAGTTTCTAGGTCGCGTGCACGATGACCGACCCTGACATTGAAACACAACCTCACTTTTCTGTAAAACATTGAAATACAACCCCACTTTTCTTATTTGTTCACACAGGAATCAAAGGATTTAAATAGCTTTTCAAAATATCTTGGCACACAAATCGTGTTTTTGGGCTATTCATTAATTCAAGTATGCCATCACATTGTGCTGTTGTACAATGCACACAAAATGCAGCCAGAGACGAAGGAATATGATTTTTCAGGTGAATAGTGATCTCACATAGTTTTCATTATAGCATTTTGTCATTTATTGTCGTTAGAATTCCTTATGCAATAGAAGCTAATACTGCAAATAGAGTGAAAATGACCACAACTCACACGATCATATTTCGTCAGCATGTCAGACCAGTCCTCCTGTTTGACTCTCGGTTTGATTGCATGATTCCAATCATCTTGCCTTCTTTCAGAAATTTCACGAGTAGGTATTTCTATTACCTCCTATTGCAAAAGGAATTTCAATGGGAAATGACAAAATTTCAAAATGGAAACTATGTGGGTCCCTTCAAATCACAATAATGTATCTACCGGAAAAATCGGATTCCTTCGTCTCTCGCTGCATTGTTTTGTGCATTGTACAACAGCACAATGTGATGGCAAATAACCGAAAAACACGATTTGTCGATTTGTATTCCAAAATTATTTCGATTCCTTGTAAACAAATAAGAAAAGTGACGTTGTGTTTCAATGTTTTACCTCCAGGATCGGTCATCTGACAGATCTTGCCCGCAACCCATAGCCATCTGAAGGCGAGCCTGAGATGAAAGTTTCTTCTTAAATAGTTTCGAAACCCTTCTGTATAAAATATCGATATTTTGAGTAGGTGCCTAACTTTTCATCACCAATTGAAAATGTTAGGAATATTTCGAAATTCTGATCAGGCGCATTAGTAGGGGTTAGAGGCACTATTTCTCCCAACTTCTTTGTTCATGCAATTTTTTGCAGTTTGATCTGGAAATATGGA